TGAACTCTTTCAACCTAGCAAAGACAAAGATAAATTTGTCTGTTTTGAGTCATAGAGGTTACTAGGATAAGAAAGTAGGAACTGAGTACTTTCTCACCCCTAAGACCCTTTCTGTGGTAAAGAAATTTCCTAAGAGCTTCGGCAAGGGTTTCAGTAAGGTGGCACTCCCCAAGACAGCTCTACATTCTTATTTAACTTTTTCCAGGTGAATTGCTTCTTGTGTCCTATTCCTGCTCCCTTCTACCATTTCTACCCTATGACAGTGTAGGTTTGCCTACTTTATGCCTGCTATTGTTACTTATTGTTGCTTATTGTTACTATTGCTTAGGAACTAGCCTCAGGGTTGAGGCAGGACATAAATAGATTATAAAAATACATAGTCATTGGGGAAAATGTAGGGGTGTCTGATTTTTAAAGTAGTATCTTATAAGTGCCTGATATAGTTGTAGGGGATGGAGGCCTATTAATAGCAAAGGTCTCCATCCTTACTGTTGTCAGCTGCTTCTACTGTTGTGTTTTGTGCATGTAAAGGACTGGGAAGGGTCTGCTGTGTGTGCGCTTGGCTTTGTTTGCCAAAACACACTCCCATACTGAAATAGACCCTTGTGCTGAGCAGGGATTGTTAAGATGGCAATTCTCAAGATGCAGTGAATTTAAGTGATTTCTGATGATGAATGGTGAATACTATGAAACTTATGTTTTCTTAGTCTTTAGTGTTTATAACAGCATTGAGGAACTTGGAAGTGGCATTTAGGCAGAATTTTTGAACTAGAAGGCAATAGTTAAAAAAAAAAGAAAAACGTGTTTTCAATGTTTGTAAAAAAAATAGCATTGTTGAGTAGATGAGTATAGAAAGGAATGGGAACTCTTACATTGTTTGCGTTTTATATTACCAATAGCATGTCTTCTCAGTAAGGTAATTAAATACTACATTCATACACAAGTATTGAAAGGCATCGAGGAGAACCAGAGTCCTACCAGTTTTCAAGTGATTGAGAAGTTACGCATACAGTTTTTTTCCCTGTCAACAAATTTTCTGGCTTACCCACACAGTTGGGAGTTTTAGAATTAATTATGTTTTTAATTAAGTGTTGTGGGCCTGAAATTAGTTGGATTTGTTCTTTACTGAATCAAAAGGATCTAATCACAATTTCTCAGCAATAACAACACAACAGTCATAAAACCTTTTCCAATGTTGTGCAGAGGTATAAGCTTTAGGGTGTATCTATTCATCTGTTCTTGGTACTAAAATTTAGCTTTACAAAAAGATTAGTTTCAGTTTTTTTAAACAATGCTACAAAAAACCTTGCAAAGTAGAGGTAATTTAAGAGAATGTTTATAAATTATGGGATGTTCTTCAGAGAAGTAACAGTCAGTAAACGCTTATTGAACACAATTGATGTTGATGACATCTGTAATTGTGGGATGGCAGCATATTGGTGTGTAGTTACATAGGGGCTCTAGAAAGGATTTGACAATGATAGGTTGAGTGTAAAGGATTGCTTTCAGTGGACTGGAGCAGTAATTCTTGGAGTAACATCACTCACACAGGTTTCACATAGGCCTTCTCTTTTAGGGTACAGTGAAGTGAGGGAGAAAGACTTGGTTTAGAATCCTTCACCACTTCCTTTCCTTCAGGCTGTACTTGCTTCAGTCCTACCTCCTTTCTAGTCTTTCTACCCTGAGCTCATCTGCCTTTTGTAACCTTCTTCGGGCTATTATAACACAGCCTTGAGGAGGTTTGTCCAGGGCCCAAGCAGGATCTGCTATGATATGTGTTTTCACATTCCACCCACCTCATCCCTGAGCTTTCTCTAAGACTCAGGTATATTTTCTCCTGGCTTGTTGCTTAGGGGTATATTCCATGGAACTGGCATATAAAAATATTGGAACTATTTATAGATCTAGTGGCACATTGCCTGAATGAGCTTCAGAAGACTTGGAACAATTAAAATTGCCATTAGCAGTGATAAGTAGGGCCTGTTTTCCCACATTCTTGGTAGTGTTGGAATCCTTTTTTATATTCTGGTTTGTGGTGCTGAATGAGAAATTGTGTGTGTGTGTGTGTGTGTGTGTGTGTGTGTTGTACTGCTTTGTACTTGTATCAGGTCTTTATGTATTGAAAAATAATTTTTCTTGGCATTGGTGGAGTTTTTCTGTATTTTTAAGTGGTTTTATTTTGTTGGGTAGAATTTTATTTGCACACTATGTCTTATTATTAATAACAGTCTTTCATTGGGCTGGGGTTTTAGCTCAGTGGTTCTGGAGCCTGACTTATAAGCATAAGGACCTGAATTCGATCCCCAGTACCACCAAAAAAAGATAAAAGTCAACAAAAACATAATAATACTCTTTCATTAGGGGGAATTTTTTCCCAAACTTTTTTCTACATTTTCTTAGTTTGTGATAGTTGAAAATGTCAGTTTTGGGGCCGGGGATTTAGCTCAGCAGAGCCATGCCTTCCTGGCAAGCATAAGGTCCTGTATGGCTTCCCCATACCCCTCCCCACCAAAAAAGAAAAGAAATTGTCAGTTTTCTAGGACTGAGAATTTAAGTTGTGATAAACTTGTACTAACATGACTTAACCTAGAACTGACTCCTCTGTAATGAAACTTAGGAGAGAATAAGAATACTATTTTAATTTTACCTGCTGTCATTCAGAGCACTTACCATTTCCTGGGAACTGATAGCTTTCTGGATGAAGAATTGCTGGTAAATAGTTGTCTCATCTAATACTAACTCTTGCAGTGATTCTTAGAAGCATCATTTGCTAGCAGTACTTTCCCTTTCCTGATTTAACCACTTTTCTCCCTTCTTGCACCTTGTTCACTTTCCAGCTTTGAATCTACTTGGCCACTGTGCACCTTGCAAACTGCAGTGTCCTTGTAGACAGTCTTTAGGGAGAATGCATGACATTTTATAGCCTTTTTTGTTTGTTTGTTTGTTACCAGGGTTCAAACTCAGGACCTCACGCTTGCCAGGCAGACACTGTGCCACTGAGCTAAATCCCTAGTTCTGGCCCTTTTTATAGAAAACACCTCAAACTCTTTGGGAAAAAAACACCTCAAAATTGATGGATATTAAAATGATGAAGTGTAATTCATTTATTCATCCTGTGGTACTAAGGGTGATTAGAATCACGAATCTTTCACTTTTCTGTTTATATCAAACGTGCCACTTTCAACTAGGACTATCTCACTTTTAATTCTGTATGTTAAAAAAAATAAGATGTGTTATATACAGGTATCAACTGCCTATAATGAATGTAATCATGTACTGCAAATGCACTAATAAAAATAAAAATAAACTTTCATTGTAAATTGACATATGTTTGTTTATATTTGTGGAATATAAGATGATGTTAGGATTTATGAATATAATATGGGATATTTAAATCAAGATAATGTATCACTTTAATCTTAAAGCTATACTTAATGCCTACACATCACATATATTTGAATATAAGCAATAATTATGTAACTGAAAGACAATTGTGTGCCTCTGGGATAATTTCCTGGGTAGATAGTGTTCTGCGGCTGTGTAGGATATCCAAGAAATCAAAGTAAACTGTAAGTATGAGGCACTGTCTACATCTATCCTGGAATCAGAAGCCAAGGTTTTTTAAACCTCCATTGTTTGTATGAAGAAGGTAAGAGTCATACCTAAGGTAGTACTTATAGTCAGTTATCTAGGCAGTCCCAGTCCTGGGTTTCTTTTCTCTAGAATGCTCCACTGCATATTAAAGCCAATTGCTGAGCTCTTCTGGTCTTCGTAGGCCATTTGTTTGTTGCAAGTTCAGTGTCTTGAAAGACATTTTAGTTGAAGTGTGGAGATGATGGTGATAGAAGGGGGAAATGTAGCTCCCAATTGAAGAATGAATTGTAAGGAACAGCAAAGGTTAATAATAGGAAAAATTTATTGAGAGTGATAGCTCCCGAGAGACAGGAGGGGACCTGAGATTGAGTGGCTACCAAGATCCATTGTTGGGGTAATTTATACAGCACAGTTACATTGCGGTACAACATGGATCAAACTATATTCATCCTAAAGGATTACAAGTATAGCTGCTTAGCTAAAATTGATCCAATATGAAAGCAGATCTCATAGCAAAGGTACTTGGAAAGAACAAAGACCTTTTTAGGAAGGGATAGATCAGGAGGTCCTGATCACCTACCTAGGTGACTGATGTCTATCTGTTGGACTAGGTGAGTATAATCTTCAGTTTACTGCTTATCCCTCAGGGAGGCACGTAGGCCTGGTCATTCCATCTTTATCTTGAGACCTGGCCTTCAACAGATGTGCCTCCGGCCACAATTGTAATGTATTCTCTTTTTCTGCACTGGCTGCCTAAATATCTTTGCCTAACTTAGCTGTTGATAATAATGGGGTAAGTCTTGAGAAAAGGTGTCATATAAAAAATAAAACATTTTAATGTATTTATTTCATTATGTAATATATGCTCACAGTTTAAAACATCAAATAATGTAAGAGAGCTTATGATGAAATGTCAGAGTGACTTTTTCCACCTTAGCACCAACTCCTGGTTGAGAGAATTACTTTGAATGCTTTTAGGTCTCTTATTGTCTCTATTTCTGTATTTCTATTTTATTGCAATGATTTGTCCATTGTAAATATTATTTATTGTTTTTCTTCCAAAAGGGATAAGGGCTTACATTATTGTCACCCTCTTTCCCCATTTCTCTCAATAAATTCATGCTATTTTTTAATTCTTTTTAAATTTTTTTGGCAGTACAGGAGATTGAACCCAGGGGCTCTTACATTCCCAACCATGTTGTGTTGTACTGTGTTGTGTTGTGGTGTTATGTTATTGTTTGGTTGGGTAGGATTATACCTGCGTAGGGGGTTGTTGGACATAAGTGTTCTGTGGAAGTAATCCTCTATTTTGTATTTTTTGTGTATGTCATGATTAATCTGGCGTTAATATAAAATGTATTTATTTCAGGTTTTATCATGACCTTTTCCTTTTTTGTGTTTTACAGAAATAAAGACCTTCCTTCAATAGATGAAAATGAAAATACAGAAGAAAGAGAAGCAGGTAATTGGCCTCATTTCTTTCAAGCAAACACATCCATTGTACCTGGTACTCTTTTTGTAAAATTAATTTTATTGGTATATTCAATGTATACAATATGATGACATTCACTGTTGGAAATGTGTACATTTACATAATCAACCTTGGTTCTTATTCCCATTCCCCACCTTGTACTCTTTTAACAACAGGAAGTGACACTGTCAGTGTTGGCTCATATCTTAATCACTGGTTGTTCCCTGTTGCCTTTGTTTTTCATTTCTTTTTCCATATGACAATAGTTCTCTGTTCTGAATGGCTTAATATGTGGATTTTTTCCTTTTGCTTAGGTTATCTTCTTATAAAAATAATAAAAAATGTAAATCAGAATATTATTCAAAATTAGACCTATGTAAAAGAGAAATGCTTCCTTTCTTGGAAGAACTTCCCAAGTTTTTTTGAGAGAGGGATGCAGCCCAGTCTCTACATACTGATCATTTTGGATGTTTAGATAAATAAAAGCATTCATTCATTTATGAAATTCTTACTATAATTCATGGAGGGCTATCCTAGAGGGAATAGTTTTCCTAGAAGAATGTGAATATCACCTATTTGACATTTGGCTTCTTGAAGGTGGAGGAAGCTCATAATTATTTTTGGCCTGTGTGACTTGCCCCAGATCTCTTTCCTTAGTGGGTACTTTTTTGCCCCAGGTGGTTTTATATTGAAAGGGACCTTGAATCCCCAATTCACGTGACTCAGGCAAGGGAGATACAGAGATCTGCCTCTGTCTTTCGTAAACAAACTATGATATTCCTTCCATAGAATTGCTTGACTGTCTAGTAAATGGGGGGATCTGAATCCTTGTCTTTCACTGGGATTCTCTTCTTCTGTCTGCTCCTAGGGAGCCTTAGTCAGAAATACATGGTGATTTAGGGATATGGTTACAAAGATTACTCTTTGGGCTGTCCTTAGAAGATAGGTTGACTTGAATTCATCTGCTGATAGTTCCTAACAACAGAATTAGTGACTTAAGTGCTATCTACAGTAGCACTCTACTATAATGAGTTAGTTGTCGACTGGTATAGGCAAACACCACAGAGAACATAGTTTCTTCTGCTGGCAATTTATCCTGTGACAGAATTATTTGTACAAGGGCTTCTATTGGTGTTTCCATTAAAATAGCAAAAATGGAAAAGAGCTCATATATCTATCAAAAAGGGGGCTATTAAAATCATATTATGCCCTTTTGGTGGAATACTATGCTGCTGTTAAAAAGAATACAGCACTGAAGAGGCCTGAAATTATTGTAATTTATCATGTGTGGGTGGGTTTTATAGTTCCTAAAGCAATTAGCATATTTTAATTTTTAGGCATTCTTTAAGGTGAACTTTTATTTAAATAAAAACATTCTATAGAAATTGTCCCAAAATGAATTCTTGTATCTTTCATGATTTTATTGGTTTATTTAAAGACCTTTAATATCAGCCTCAGCTGGGTTTTCATTTTAGACACCTCCATAGTATTAGTGAGCAGAATAGGACACTTTAATTAAAAGTTAATATTACCTATAGTAGAAGAGCAGGTTAAATAAGTAGAGCCACTTTCAGGAATTGTTATATGGGTGACTGAACTTCAAGAAGTTGTGGAGCATTAAGATAGAAAATTAGAGGGCCAGAGATTTAGCTCAGTGGTTCTGCCATTTGCCTTGCAAGGGCAAGATTTCGAGTTCAATCTCTGGTACCACCAAAAAAAAAAGGAAAATAGAAAATTACTTTAGTGCTAAAGCAGTCTGTGGGCTCCAAGATTGAACACGTACCACTGGGTCCAGTGCCAGACAGAGAAGAGGCACAACTCTAGAAGAAACCTGGGCTTTGGTTCCCACGGAACAGGATTGAAACTTCCACTTTACCGCTTTGGGGCAAGTTCAGCCTTATTTGCCATCACTTACATGAAAATCATACGTACTTCACATTGTAGAAAGGGATTAATGAGGTGATTTGTCAGGTACTTAACATTCAGTATAAATCAGTGGCAATGGAAATCTTTAGTGTAGCAATAAAAATACCATCAAACTTTTTTCTTACGGTTATTCTATAGTGTTATAAGTAGCAGCAAGCAAAACAGCTGCTCTTTAAAAACTTTCATTCTTAATTCATTTTTTCTCTCAAAAATGACGTTAGTAATACATTTTGATCTTCAAACTTCACCATTTCGTTGTTTTAAATATTATTAAATTAAACTGAGATGATAGATTTTATAATCAAACTCAGTAAAAAATAATTATGCTTATTAACCAAAAAAAGCATTACAGAAGTAGTATATGAAGAACAAAGGGTTTAGAGATTGACTTGTACACTAAGGAAGTAATGTAGGAGAAGTACTTTTTTTTTTCTTGGTACCAGGGATTGAACTCAGGTCCTTGTGCTTGCGAGACAGGCAGTGGAACCACTGAGCTAAATCCCCGACCTCAGGAGAAGTACTTTAATGAGACACTTAAAATGAATCATCCATATTAAAAACTGCCTCTAAGAAATGTATATATATTTTTGTTTCTAAGGTGATTATATAGTACTAGCAGAAAAAAGTAGACAACTAAAATGTGAATTCTAATCACCAAAAACCCATGTGGCATTATACTTTTTTGTAAAGCAACATCTTCACGTTAACAATGGCAAACTTATGATATAGGAATATTGATTTTTGTTCATCTCAGCTTTTTGCTTGGTACTTAGAAAAGTACAAACTATGACAATCATGAGATATATAATATGGTCTATGGCACTTGTAATCTTAAAAGTAAGAGAGTTTTGGGTGCATAAAAGCAGTGTACAGCAATGGAGGCAATAGAAGAATGTCCTAGTATTAAATAGAATTAAAACTTGGAATATAACCACTGTGGGAGAACCTTGCTTCCATGACCAAGAATCAGATAAGCACAGCTTTCAGTCGTAAGTCTTCTGAGAAATACAGAGCAGGGTCAGAAGAATTTTCTTCAGATATGCTGTGGGAATCTCAAAGTTCTTCAGACTGTTAGACTTTGTTTTCCTCTTTCGAGTGATATGGACATAATTTACTTACCAAACAAACATTCGTTGAGTTTTTCATTATTTACTTATCCAAGAAGTACTTGAGTTCTACTTGAGGCCAGGCTCAGCAGTGACTAAAAAAATTGTTTAAGAAATTTATAAACTGGGTTCAGAAAGGCAGTTAAAGTGTAGGGGTGGCACATGCCTTGGAAGAGTCATTGCTTTCCTTTGAGAGTGGAGGAGTAATGCTCTGGGATTGGAGCGTGTGGAGGATAGGAAACGTCAGCTTCATAAAGTATCTGAGAGTATTTTAGAAGAGGTGGGAGCTCTGCTACTGTCTAGGAATATATTCTTGACCTGTTGCTTCCATCTCTCTGAACTTACCTGTAAAATGAGGGGGTGGACTTGACAGTTGCCTCAGTTTCTGAGAATGGAATTGCTTGGACATCCAGTGCGCACATGTTTAGTTTTGTAATGAACTTGCTGACCATTTCCCAAAGTACTGAATATTCCATCACATTCTATCCAGTCTGTTGGGATTTGTTGGGAGGTAAAGTACTCAATGAAATGAGTACTTTTTGCCAGGGTTCAAATCCAAACCCCTCTGTTCATTAGCTATGTGCCCATGGGCACCTATTATCTTAACGTTACTAATCTTCCATTTCTCCCTATACAGAATGGCATCTTTACATTGACTTTGTAGGATTGTTGTACAGGTTAGAGATCATCCATTGTTCGTCATAGAATCCTATATCCATATTAAATGTATGCAATAAATGTTAGCTGCTATTATTATTGCCTCTTCACTGAATCACCCTGTATCACCCGATTCCAGTTTCTATGGTGCATTCTGTCCTACAGAAAAGAGATCTTGATGTGACATATGAGTGGAAGAGAGAGTTTTACTCTGACCTACAGCAAGTAGCCTTGGTGGAGTTAGGTCTGTTATAGGTTATCTTTGAAAGCATCTTTACTGAGCAAACCTGTGTCTCTGGCCTTTTTAGTCTATCCACCCTTGCATGCTAAGAAAACTTAGTTGCATGTCTCTCTGGCAACGAGGTGGCTGTGCAGTATCCCTCGGATGGCCATATAGAGGATCTTAGCTTTCATTAGATATGTCTTACTCACAGTTGGGTTTCTTTGTACCTTTTATTTCATTTTTTAAAATTTGTTTTTTTTTTTTGGTACCGGGGATTGAACTCAGATCCTTGCGCTTGCAAGGCAGGTCACCATAAAATTTGTTTTTAATGGTAGTAAAACATGTGGCATAAAAACACCATTTTAACTAATTTCTTGTGTTTGATTTTTAAATTCCTTTTGTGTCTGCTTAGCTCCTCTTTTTTTTCTTTTTCTTCTCCCCCCTTTTCCTAAGCAATTTTAAGTATTTCAGTCAGCAATGAGATAGTTTTTGCAAGTGGCCAAAAGTTATTTGGGGCTGAATCTAATGGCTAATTTAGATGACCATATGGAATAGCATCATTTTTAGTCACAGGTGAAACTTTGAATGGACCCAGTTTTCTTTTTTCAAAACCAGCTTAGCTGAATGTCAGTGCTTCTTTTATTTATTTCTTTTACTTATTTATTTTTTTTATTTTTATGTGTGCTTCTTAATGATAGGTGAGAACAAGATTTAGGGAAATAAAGTTCTATAGGAATTTGCCGCTGAATCCTTATCACTTTGATGACAGCACCTTAATTCAGCACCAGGGTCTCAGAATGCACTTAAGAGTAGCTTTTGTGCATTATGGTGATAAATGCCATTCTCAGTCAGAACAGTATGCTGAGGACTGCTAGTGGCATCTGAAGGTATTTTTTGGGAAAATATTGTAATTTATAATTACCTGTTTTAGACAAAAAGCTTAACAGATATTTCAGATTTCTTCATGTAATGTAGAATCTTGCAAATTTTTATATAATTCTTAAAAAATTTTTTTTATTACATAACATGTTGTTGTACCTTGTTACAGCACCACAAGAGCAAAGGCCATATATGTCCTGCTTTGCCACTGTATCCTCAAGGCCTCACAATGTAGGAACTAACACATAGTAGGAACTCAGTAAATATAGAATAAATCTGTGCATTCATACTTAATAGTGCTCTTTATGAAGCATGCAATGGAAGGGTAATATGCTTGTTTTTCTGTCTTTTACAGTTGTCAAATTTAAAAGTTTTAAATCACTCCCCAATGTCTGATGCCTCTGTCAATTTTGACTACAAATCCCCATCCCCATTTGACTGCAGCACTGATCAGGAAGAGAAAATTGAAGATGTTACCAGGCACTGTCTGCCCCAGCAGGACCTATACACTACTGAAGAAGAAGCTGACACCCTTTTCCCTAGGAAAGTGACATCCTGCAATGGGATGGAGGACAGTGGAGGTGGAGGCACTGGAGTAAAGAAGAAAAGGAAGAAAAAGGAGCTAGGAGAGCAAGAGGTTGCAGCAAAGGGAAATAAGGACAGGGAGCCCAAGCCAAAGAGGAAGCGAGAACCTAAAGAGCCAAAGGAACCCAGGAAGGCCAAGGAGCCGAAGAAGGCCAAGGAACCCAAGGAGCCCAAGCAGAAAGATGGAGCAAAGAAGACTCGGAAGCCCCGAGAGGCCTCTGGCACCAAGGAGGCCAAAGAGAAGAGGAGCTGTGCTGACTCTGCAGCCAGGACAAAGTCCAAGAAGGCCAGGTATGTATCTTCTTCCCTCCCCTGATCCCTTGCTTCTATCTCCATGGAATGGTTTGCTTTTGGCATTCGCCCAGGTTGCTGGACTTAACTTTATTCCCGTTGTCTAAGCTTCACACCTCACTTGTATAGTGAGGGTTGGGGGTGACCAGTGTCATTAATACAAGGGGCAAATCTTGGAAATTACTATTTGTTGATTGCATTCCTGGAGTTATGGTGCTTCAAAAACATTTGTATTTTTAGGATACTCCAAGAATTCCCCACCTTCTTCAGACCCCAACTGTCCTGTTTAGTTTGTGTACTTAGTATGTAGCATTTTTTTGTTTGGTTGCTGGTTTTCTACCTTGTGCCTCTGCATGCCATATTGACACACTCTCTGTGTCTATATTAACAACCTTCAGCCAAAAATGAACTTTTTTTTTAACCTCCTGGTGAGAAAGATAACCTTGCAATATGGCCATGCAATTTACTATTCCTTTTAGGCTAAAAAGAATTAAAATGTTACTATGCACAGGGTGCAAGGGAAGAGTCATATCAGACCTGATACAGTGAGGGCAGGGATTTTTGGAACTGCAACAGTGTTGAGGTATAGAGTGTACAGTCATTAGTGGGAATCAGTGGTGCAGTGGCCTGGAAGAGCCATGGTTGTGTGCAGAGTTCCATATCCAAGAGCACTGACTCCCGGGGCTCCAAGCTCTGATAACATGACTGTTAAGTTCAGTTTTTGGCATAATGCCTTACCTTTTTATAGCTGCTCATGAAATGTTCAGTAAATGAGGTCTGAGATGACCACAATGACTTGGAGAAATCAGAGAACTGGGTACAGATTCACCATAGAGTGGGTGATACGAAAGATCCTATCTGGATAGCAGTGCATTCCTTAAACAGGAAATTAGGTACTTGTCTGTATCAATCAAATTTCTCTTTCTAAATTTTTTTGTACAAAACATGTTTAAACTTTTTGAGGACGTATAAGACAAAAAAAAGAATCACACACATCTCAAGGAATTTAAGTTTCTGATATCTACATGCAGATATCTAAGGCAGGATACTTCTGTCTATCTTGTCTATTGTGTCAGAACAAGAGCACTTATAAAATCTCAGCAATTGATGTGAATGCTAGGAGAACTTAATAAAGTGAGACCTGTGTTGGAGAGGGAAAGCATTTTCAGTGCTATGTGCTTCAACTTGGCATCTGTTATGTGGTTCACTTCTTCCCTAAGACAGTTGTTAGGACCAGATGGATAATTTCCTAATCCACATTAAATTTTTGACCCTTACTCTTCACTATCTTCTGCCTTGAAGGGTATTTTATCTTTTAATGAAGAGTCTTGAGGGTAGAGGAAGGGCATGATTTCAGAGTGTGACCTTAAATACCTTATATTGTAGAAGACTGAGAGGTAGGCAAAATTAGGATTCTAAATTACGAAAAACTTAAGGGCTTTGTTTCTCACTTGACATAATAAGAATATCTAATCTCAATGTTTGGAAGAGGTGACAGAGTGACTTTTTGGCTTCTGTCAATATTTTTCACCTTGCTTTGGAGAAGCTGAAGTGTTTCTTTAGAGTAGTAGCATATTTGAAGAATCAGATCTGAGGTAGTGGAGTTATTTATTTTGGTTTTATGAAGAACAGTAAGGAATCAGAACAGTGTTTGAGAATTAGGGTAGTCAGAGGACATTTCACAGCCCTAGTAAGAGTCTGGCTTGCTATGAAAGGCAGTAGAAAGCCATAGCTCTGAGTTCACTTAGCCGCTGATCTCTGGTGCTTATGGTTTTATCGAACTCTTAAAGGAATTCATATTTACATTATTTGCAATGTAAAACAAAGTGATAGTATGCAGACATTATTACAAGTTCCAATTGGGGGAAATGAGGAATTGTTTCACAAAATAAGATTGAGTGTCAAATGTATAGGCAAAGTCAGGATTTTGACTAATGGAAACCTTACAGGCTTTGTTAAATATACATAGCATTAATTAAAGGACCATGATTTTGATCTAATTAGGCTGAATAACTAAATAAATTGGAGAAATGCTTGTAGTGTTTTTGAGGACGCTTAGAAGACAGCAGGACCTTTTGAGATTTAAAACTCAGGAAACTTGCTTTGAAAGGAGGGTGACATAGAGAGATGTCTCTTTAGAAATGTGGATAAATTGTACAAGGTTTTTCTCTCTTTAATTTGGGGAAATATGATAAATTGACCTATAACATTATAGAATTCCTCTGTGTAGCCCAAATAGGGTTCCAGAATGGTTAGCCTTTGATTTCTTTTCTTTAATAATAAAATTATTTTGGTCCCTTTAATGATTCCACTGGTCAGCAGAACCTGTTTTAGTTATGAAAAAATATTAATTGATTTTAAAATCTGCTGGTTATTTATTAAGCCTTAGTTTTTTGTACCTTTTGATTTATTGGGGTTGGGGGGGTGAGACAGGGTGTCACTATGTAGGATGGCCTTGACCTCACTATGTAGTCTAAGATGGCCTTGAACATGCAACAGTCCTCCTGCCTCAGCCTCTCAAGTGCTGGGATCACAAATGTGCACCACCACTCTCAGTGATGATTTATTCTCATAGGTTGGCTTATGTACATGTTTTGGTTTGGGCAGTTACTGATTTAGACTCTGAGTAATCCTTAATCATGCTAAGTGACTCACCAGATGCTTGGATTACTGTAGAAGCTCCAAAATTGATGTATAGACTTTCAGCCCTTTCTTCCTAGAGTCCAACTTGCCAGCTGCCACCTGGCAAGTCTTTCTGAAACACTCCTGTTATTTATGTTGATAACTGGTAGGGGTGATCATAAATCAAATCCTTTTTTTCCCCATCTCTTGATTGTGAATCATTTGAGAAATAGCCAACAGAGAAAGAAACCTGGTTACTAGCTTTATTGTTGCTAGACTAGATTGAAAAATTTCCATTGATTTGTGCTTAAAACCAGGCTTCTTGTTACTTCCTTAGTTGAATTTATCTATCAGAATTTCAGGTAGTGGGGATGCTGAGCAAGGTAGATGCTGTTCCTTTTCCTAGGTTTACCAGTTGGCTATGTCCTCAATTAGAAAAAAGAAATGAGTTTGAATAGGAAAGAATCTTTATACAGTATCGCTTCTTCTTTGGGAACAAAATGTGTTTTTTCTTATGAAAACATAGGGGTAAGAAAATGGGATTCTAAAAACAAATGTATCCAGCTTTGCTCCCTGAAAATAAGATTCATATAAGATATATTAACTCCCATCAGATGTGGTGGAAACATGCCTATAATCTCGGCACTCAGTAGGCTAAGGCAGAAGGATCGCGACAAGTTTGAGGCGAGGCTGAGCTACATAGTGAGTTCAAGGCCAGCCTGAACTACCTAGTGAGACCCTGTCTCAAAAAAACAAAAAAAATTTTTTTTAAAGCTATTATTAACTCTCATTGATAAATGACATTAGGTGGTAGCTCCACTTTATAATTAAAGAAATGGAAATATTTAAAGTTAACTACCTTGTCCAAGGCATAAATTAATGAGCAACATTGTCAGGATTTGATTTCAGGTTCACCTGATGGTAAAACCCATCCATTGATTCCTTATAGCTTTGTATGTCTTTATGCCTTGCAAGGGGACATGGAATGTGGAGATGGGAGATTCCAGTGTCAGAGAAATTGGTTTTTATTTGTGGAAAATGGCCCCTCTTCTACAGAATTTCAGTATGTATACTCCATAATAGCCTTTCAAGGACTAAAATGACTCTAGTCTTTTCTTGCACTGTTTCTTTTTGCTTTGAGAAGCAGTAAACAAATCATCAAATATTTCTATTCTAAATGGTGATATAGGTAGAATCTCACAAATTTTTCTTTTCAAAGGTGATATTAATAGTGAAACATATGTAGGATTTAGAGGTGAAAGCCTAGAACTCTCAAATAGAATATTTAAAAAATACTGTCACAGAAGTCAAGGTCAGGCTGTAACATGTCCTTAAATCTGAAATTAAAACTTCATTTACTATAATTTACTGTACTGATTTCTAATTATAAGACCTTTTTTTCCAAAGAAGATTGGGGTCACTTGCATAAGAAGATTTACAAAGACCTGCAAACGTATGGATACATGGCCCTATAGCTAGAGCAGGGGTTTTGAAAAGTAGATGTCAGGTCATGTGGAGGTCGTGAAATGTTGATATGGGCCTTGGAGATAAGCTTTGGGCCTAGAAAAGCAATGTGCCAGTTTTTCAGGGAAGCCAAATTTTTATCAATCAAGAAAAAATTCTCGGCGCTGGGGATTTAGCTCAGTGGTTCTGCCGCCTGCCTTGCAAGCATAAAGACCCGAGTTCGATCTCTGGTACCAAAAAAAAAAGAAAAGAAAAATTCTCAGTGGGGAACATTACATGTTGTAATGTATACTATCTTCATTAGTAGTTTTTGTATCTCATGCTTCTTTGTACTTATGAATTTCATATTTTTATGCCCTTTAGTAAAACCCAGCTTCAAAGGTGTAAATCGCAGCTTGGTGAGAAGGAATAAAGACCCACACAGGTTGCACACATTGGTGTCTGTTGCTCTTACTTGATTCCCTGGGAGTGAGTACCTGAGGAATAAGTTGATGTGCAACCCTTAGGTTGCCTACTTTTGAACAGGGAACTGTTTTGACTGAGCTAGAGGTTTCTGTTAAAAGCTAGGGTGTTGAGTTTTGGTGTTGATATTGCTAATTAAAGATACAGCATAAGCTATGGAATTTCTATACATGTCAGGATGATTAATATTCTTTCTTGATGTCAAGAAGTGAATCAGTGTGTAGACCCAAGTGAAGGACTGTCTGTCTGCATCTTTGATTCTCAGACTTTGCTAGGTCTAGGAAATCACCTGGACAGTTTATTAGAGAAGTAGAGTCCCTGACCACATCCCCAGAGAGAGGGATTTGTTAATATTAAGTCTGAGGTGGAGCCTGGGAATCTGCATTCTCAAAGTCTCCCTGGTAATTTGGTGACTAGTTCTTCAACCATCCTTTTAGAAACATAGGTCTCAG